ATATAACTTAGATGAAGATTGATGCGAAAACTTTGGCTGCCGCCCGGTCCTATGTAGCTCTTGGCTCGAGCTCGCTTTCAGGCAGCGGGCGGCACTCAGAGCTTTCGRCTTGGTATTATGTTTTGGATTTCATGCATATAGATAGACATAAGAGCATACATGGATATATACTGCTGGGTGCCATCGCCATGTAGGATGATTTGTGGCAGCTCTCCTTGGATCGTGCAGCAAATGCCCCGCTGTCATGTGCCCCGAGGCTGCCACGAATCGTGCCAATCGAAGCGCACTCAGCGCAACGGATTAGAGGAGGGAGCTGGGAGAGCAGAAAACAGAATAATATTTAGCAAATGACAATCTAGTGAATTTATTAGAGAACACAATACGTTTGCTAATTGAACACAGAAAAAAAATATATATATTCAACTTTAACTTAACGGTAATACTAAAAAAAAACTCAAATAAAATAAGGATTCCTATCAGTTTTCTATTTTCTTTGTTCCACTTTCACCTGCGAACAGAAATCGTAATTGTAATTGTAATTGGAAATTCTTTCCGCTATCGCTTCACATTCTGATGAGAAGAATTGAAATCGAAATTGAAATTGAAATTGAAATTGTAGTTTGAGGGTATATGAGAAGAACACGTGCAATGGGAAACAGTGTTGCCATGCGTTGCACACAGTGTTGAGCAACGCACTGTAAGTGGGTTTAACAAACACCTGTTCGGAGAACAACCGGGTCCAAGACAAACTAAGGAATATATTTTCGTGTATTTTGTATAAATAACGAAACAAGTCAGACACATATGACACCATACCGTATTATATTATGACAACAATGCCTTGACAACACCTACACAGATACAGAGACAGACACACACCCACACACACACACACACACACACACATACACTCATTGACAGACAGACGCATATAACCTGATGAATGTTCTACACATAAGCTAGAATTGCGAGGAATGTATATGTGTGTGTAGAGGCGATCATACATACATACATATATGTATATATACATGCACACACACACACATATATATATACATACGTACATACGTACATACATATAGATGGTAGACCCATACAAACAGACATACATACATACATACATTAACACATAGCATATTTACAAGAATATATATTTTTTTCTATGCATATAAGGGAATTGTTGAACAAAATGGAAAACAACATGAAACGCAAGTCTTATGAAAACCTAGAAACTAAGGCAACAGAAATTGTAAAGGAAGTAATAGCAACAACTAAAAGAACTACACAATTTATTGGATTGTAAAGATTAAAGAATATATATATGTATGTAAAGAACTATATGTGTGTGCAACCTACATACATACAAATATATATATATATATCTTCATAGATAAACGAGTTAATGCTTCTAGTGAAAACCTAATTCTAATTGTAATTTATTTATTTATGCTTTAAGAAATACCAGACACACTCACACAAACACACTCACTCATACACTCACACACACACACACACACTCACACGTATACTGAGAGAATAAATATATTTTATTTTCAAAAACAATTCAATTCTTAGAGCATGAATTTATGTGTGTACATAATTTCTTTTCAGTTCTTTTCGTAGCTTTTGTTTCGGTTTTTGATCTTGCAGCTAAACACAATTGGAAAGCATCGAAACCAAAGACAACTACTTTTCCTTTAAGTATACAACTTTATATATATATATATATATCTAAACTAAACGTTGATACAAGATAAAAACTTACGCAAGTCTGAAAGTATTTCTATCGAAGAGTTCTAAACTGCTTAAACTGTAAATTGTAAATAGTAACTGAAACTAGAAAGTTCTTCATCTAAGCGCTATTAGCTACATATATATATACATATGTATATGTGAATGCTTTACGCAATGTAATATACTAAACACACACACACACAGAAATATATATACACTATTGAGCAAATAAATATATATATATACACATATTACGTACATATACAAAGATAATACAACAAAAAGTTAAAATTTTTTGGTAGCTCTTAAGTGAAACATAAACAGACAAAAAGCAAAAACAAAAACAAAAACTAAGTACGGTATGCACTGCAAGCACTGAGGAATTTGATTCAATTTTACTTAAGATTAAACGAAAAGAGAAATTGAAGTAGCATTAAAAAAAAAGAAACAAAAATTAAAATTTAAATTTAAATTATGGCATAATATATGAAAATCATATTTGGAGAAAGAAATGGAATTTTTTTAAAACAATTTCGACAACAAAAACTAAATTGTAACAGATGAAAATGTTCAAGCAATAACATCAGAAAGGCAATGGGCAAGCAATGAATGAGTCAACATACATACACACACACACACACAGATAGACAGATACTGATGTACCGATGTATGTATGTTTTGTATTTGAATGGATTTGCTAAGCAGAAAGTGGCTTCGGCCAAATATCAAATAGCTCGTACTCACACACACAAACACACACAGAGACAGACAGAGAAAGAGAGAGAGAGAGAGACATCTGAACACACAATTTACTCTGCATTAAGCATCTCAGTACCAATACATACAAATACAAACATACACACACACACACACAGATTATAAGCTGGCACTTCCGTCTCACTCCACCTATCTAGCTATCTCTGTCTTCTTGCACATTACAAATGTCATCAACAGCAACAATAAGCATACAAAAATAAATTAACTGCAAAATAAAGACAAAATAATTAAACTCAATGGAAAATGAATAAGCTTAACTATGTTAATTAAAAGAAGAAAAAATCCATTTTATGCCCAAAACCTAGCTACATTTTTAATAAATATGTATATATATATATAAGTTCCATCATATAAAAAAAAAAAAAGAAAAAAAAATACAAATTGCTATTCAATACATTTTCGGATACTCTATTATAAAAGAAATAAAAATTTTTTTTGGTAATTCAAACTTAAAAGAAATTGTTTTATTTTTATATTGAAAAATTTAGTTTGGCTTTATTCGCATTGAAGGTTGGCAAATCGGCATAGCACAAAGCACATACATATATGAATATGTTATATGTATATGCTATACTCGAGAATATGTATTCAGGACTAGCTTGAAGACGCCTAAAAGTGAGCTCATATACATACGCATAATACTCTTTATATGGGCCAGCCTAAAAGTATATGCGAATGGATGGCTAATAACGCTCTTGCCGAGAAACAGTCAATGTTTTGCATATGAGCCATAAATCACACGAACGAGTAAATAAACAATTGGGTAGAGTTAATTGATAAGCATTTTTATTGCGACGCTTGAGCAAACTCAGTTTGAATTGCTTAAATTGCTTATCAAAATTATCAGCTGATATGAAGTCGCCTGGCCAAAAAATTGTAGCCGAGCAAATGCCTGCGGCTACCTATGCTAAGCTCAACAGCATTGGCATTGCCAATGGCAGTGGTATTGGTATTGGCATTGCAATTGATATAGGTTTAAGTGGTTAGATAGGCAGCTCGATAAACAGGTGAGTTGTCTTAGCAATATTGCCTTATCTATTGGCCCAAACGGTAGCCAGAGCTATAAAAGCGACCCATTCGGTGGCGCAGACCAAAGAGAAGACTTTTGATAGCCTCAACATGAAGTTCACACTGTTTGCTCTGCTTGCAGCTTTCTGCGTGCTCAGCGTAAGTATGGAGCGAGTGCTCAGCTGTAGAATAGAGGATTAACTAGATTGCGCGCTTGCAGGTAAATGCCGGCACCTGGCAACCGCTGAGCGGTGTGCCCGAGATTGACATGGAGTTCCAGCCCAGCGACTTTGCTGCTGTGGATGGTGAAGTGGCATTCGATCCGGAGGTCTTTGGCATCTTCTCGACCGTGTGGTGGAGCATCAAGGCGGCACTGCGCAGCGTTAAGGGCTTAAACTGCATCATCAAGTGGGTCGTGGGCATCCAGGACAGTGCTCTGCAGTACAATGCTGATATCGTCCAATGCGGCGTCGATGCCACCAGTGACGTGACCAATCTGATCAATGCCAACCTGAAGATCATCAACACCGCCAGCAACATCATCAATCTGAAATCCACCATCTGTGCCAGCACCGAGGACGCCGAGCAGCAGTCGATCACAAACAGCTGTGCCGTCAAGACCCTCGCCCAGGTCTTCAGCCTGTACAAGCAGGTGAAGTCCGCCATTAAGCTGGCCAAGAAGATACCGCAGACCGGCCCCAATGCCGTCTCCTGCATCAGCGATGCCACCAACACCCTGACAAGCTACTACACCCAGTTCCCCTCCAACATGAAGACCTGCTCCAAGCTGACCAGCAAGTAAGCAGCTGTCTACCAGTCTACCAATTCATCTTTTTTCCATTAACATGTAAGCCAAGCAAATAAAAGATATATAAAGCAATAGTAATGAGTTGTAATCTCTTTTGGGTCTTTCATGAACGATAACAGCAGAGTAGCGCACGAGTCTCAGTTCACTTTCTAAATTATTAATAATATATAAT